ATGAGAATTATGTAAAGGATTGGCTGAGGTACAGCCTTTCAGGGAAATGCTTTATCATTTCAGTTATTCAAAGAGGACCCGCTTTTTTACTCACTGAAACCGATAATAAAACTCCCTCTGCATAACAGGAACAAGACAGCACCATTCATCTCTTAGGTGGAGTCTGAGTAACTAAACAAGCTCACTGTGCACTCCTACAAATGCTCTACACTTCTTGGAAAGTTCCTCCCTCAGAAAAAGAGTTCCACATATACTCCCTATTTTTGCACAGCCACTTCTGACTCTGCCATATCAGAATGCAAGAACTAGTTGCTTTTCCTCCATTAACTTGGATGAAAGAGGTGCCCTTTCAGAGCCGAATGTTTGACCTATTCAATGGCATTCTGACCATGCTGTCATTCTGAGTTCAGTTGTTTTGCTTATGAAAACGTGAGGCCTGTAGCCTTAACAATAAGCTTTCTGCAATTTCATTCAAATCAGGTCACGTTCTTTGCCTGACTGCAATATTCTGCATCAGCTCAAGAAATTATATTCTTAAAAAGTTCAAAAAAACCCCTCTGTTTGTAAGGTTGTTCCTCTGAGATCAGGACACCTTGACTCTTCCAAGAACTACTACACTGAGGCAAAACTGAGGATAACAGGGGCTTATCTTCCTAACTTCATGTAGCCCTAAAGAGATGATGTTCAATTTTCCCAACTTTTCGTAAGTTACTAGTGATGTTTTTCTCACTCCCTTTCCCTAACTAATCTACTTCCTAACTATGTGAGATGTCTCCAGGAAAATAATTCAGAAATGTTGCATATGACATGACAAATTCGGAAGCTGTAACCACTCAGCATCCTAGGAGATTTGTAAGACCTCACATGCTCCTCCTGAGGTAAGGATGAAGAACTCTATCTGCAGGTACAAACTGATGGCTCTGTTCTTCACGCATTTCCTCTCCCCGAGGGAAGTATTCTGCCTCCTGCTTTACCCCATATGATTAATTTCACTGCCTGAACAGGAAATTTGGTCCTTGAAGCACCAGGAACACATCATCATTAAAAAAGGATTGGAAAGGACCCGCACACGGCACCTGGTCCTTCTCCCTGCCTCATCAGCCAGATCAGCTGTAGTGAAGATATTTTTGAACCACCAGAAAACAATTACAGGTCAGTATGAGGGGCAAGGCTCACAGCAATAAAGCTGTTTAGTAAACTGAGATGAGACACCAAAAAGTAAGATAATCAGTCAAAA